ATATATCTAAAATCCGTTCTTTAGTTCGATGCTCTCATCAAATCTCTAATGCAACATTTCAAAAAAAAATTAAATCTATCTTTGAAGTTAACAAATGCAGCTATACATCTAACACTGTTTGGCTTGCAACTAGTATCTCGCAAGTTGGTCAAGTATCATTACATTCAACAGTAGAATGCATGAAATTAATTTATGAGTTTTTAATTGGAGAACCCCCACAAAATTGGATATCAATTTCAACATTGCGTACTTGGCATCAAAACGTTTCAAAATTACATGTTAATGCTCAAATCTGTCAAGTTGCCAATGCTTCAGTATTTGGAATTATGGTTGATGAATCAACAAGAGGTGAAACCAAAAATTTTGTTATGTGTTATCAATTCTGGGATCAAAAAAATCAGACACCAGCTGTAGTTATAACCCGGCTTCAAGATATTCAAAAGTGTAATGCAGAAACTGTATGTGATACCTGTCTCTTATACACATCTAGATGTGTATAAGAGACAGATATAACTGACCCCGTGATGCCGATCAATGTAGTAGATGTCGAATATGTTCGATATGTTATATATGTCCGATATATAGAATATATGGTATATAGGGAACATATAGAATAAATAGTATATATAGATAATATAGTATATATAGGGTATATAGCATATATAGTATATATAGTATGTATAGCATATGTAGCATAAATTTAATATATTAGATATTATTTTTCTTAGTAAAAATTTGTTATAAAAAGACTGTGTAAATGCGCATTATAAAAAAGTAGTTCTTTAGAACAGTCCTTAAAAATCTTTAATAAAATTAATTAAAACCCATATACCGCTTATTTTTAAGCACACAAGAACTGACACATAACAATACGGAGTTCACGTAAAATCTAAAATGAGTGTAGATCCTTTCTTTTTTGGGTAATGCCAGGCAGCATTATATTATTCTGACTCTGAAGAGATGCGTAGAGCTGATAATAGTAAATTGATCTCTCGTTACCCATTATTTAGATAGGTCTTACTTAAAGAACAGCACCATTTTTATTTATTGGCTAATTATAATAAAATTGAAAAGGATACTTTAAAAAAAGATTTTCTAAAATGACATCTATAATTACATTTATCTCCGTCTATTACCTTGATAATAAAACAAAATAAATTAACCCTTTAAACCTTCCAATGAAATGACAATTTAAATAATATAACATCAATTTAACTTATAGATGGAATAAGAATACAATAAGAATAAATATATTATAGGTAGAATTACGATCCGGATGAATTCGAAAGGACACATTTTAGCAATTATACACGGATTTTAATTAATAAAGATTAATAAATTATTAGATTACATCCCAATGCACAATCTAGTAGTTTAAAAAAATTACTATTTAATACAAAAAAAAAAGAGAAAATAAAAACGGATTGATTTTTTATCAGTTCCGGATGAATTTCAATTTTCTTTCTACTTTATTTCTGAAGACAATTTTTTTTTTATTATATTATGTATTGATAGATATTCATAAGATATCTCAAATTCTTTTGACTTAATATTCATAAAATGGTTAAAATGTGTTTATTTACGGATTGACGGATCGCAACTCTAAATTTATAGGATCCCTATAAAAATTTTTCAGAAGAATGATCACGTGTAAGTTTTCTTCGTAATAAAAACTAGAAAATGATCATTCGGAGTTTTTCCCAAAATTTTTTTTTATAGGGTATGATATAGACTATAAAAGTAAAACAAAAGCATTCGTTAAAAAGGATATGCAATGGCAGAAAAAATATGGGAGTTTACCGTAAAATCAAACGAAAGTGATGTAAAGCGAAAATCGGTGGTTCGAACCGCCAAGGGCTATATGCCTTCTTCCTTTTTTAAATAACATGGCTCACATTATATGCATTTTTGAAATAATTGAAGATGAAATCGTAAAAAGTACAAAATTATCTAGGAATATTATCATGCATTAACTTACTGTAAATATTGATAGAGCGTTCATTGGTTACTGAATAAGCGGTCATACGTACTAGTGTTTCTTTTTTTTTAAAAAAAAAAAAAAAACAGTAACGCGTTTTTTATTTATGAACATTTATATAAGGTTAGTTACATAAAATTCAAAACATCTAGAAAAAAGCAGATAAGACCTACTTCCCTCTATAACTGAGTTTAATCTAGTCTAAAAACTATAATAAATCAAAAATTAATACTTGTAAAATTTTAAGATCTATCAATTGTGTATATAAGCGCTACTAAATTTTTAAATGGTTTTAAAATTTTTTTCTCGATTTTCTAATTTTCAGATATTAAAATAAAAACAAAATTAAAAAATAAACCATTCACATGTGTAAACTGCATATCTCCTAATAAAAAACAAATTAAAATTAAAACAAAAAAATTTGAAATTGGTATAGATAATTAAGAAATAGAATCCCCAAATCTACGCTCTTGATAGAAATGTCTCCAAATTTCGTCCAAAACTCCTGTTATTTTGTCCGTACTATTTTTCAACCAAATCTGAGAGCAAACCCAAAGACCCTAATCTTAAAAAAAATTTGTTATTCGTTAAGGACGAATTTGTTTATTTTAATATGACTTAATCGCTATCGGATTCGTCTTCTCTTCGTCCCTGTGTTGTCACAACACGTTTTTTGTTTTTATTAAACTTGTCTTTTCTTCAGATGATGTCACTATTTCTTGGTTATTCTCTTCTTTGTTCTTCATTTTATCTAATCTCTCACTGAATTTGTTATTTAATTCGTCAAGTTCTTCATGTTCCTCTTTGCTTCTAGGTATCGTTGAAAGTGGAGCTGTCAGCGCGTCTACAAATTGTTCACCATCTGATGATGTTGCATGCGTAGAAACACTACGTACTAGTGTTTCTCTTCCTGAAGTGTTGGTGATTTTTCTTAACTTGAATATTGAAAATCTTAAATAATATGGTAGATCGATTAACCGAATTTCACATGATAAAAAGTAATTCGAGCCAATTTAATAATGTCGGCCAGAATTACAAACTTCGTGTGACCGTGTAGCCGATGGCTAAACTATTTATCCGAAGTCGCGTGATATATAAGTTGCTGAAAGTTTAGAATTGATTTTTTTTCGATTAATTCTGTTTTGGTAGAATCGATTTTATTCCCTAATCCAAAGGATACCTTCTTTCCAACTGGAAGGTTAACGTATTGTTGCTGCTCATTACTTCAAACGCTTTTCGAGTCTTAAATTTTAACTGATATAAAGTTAGTAATGTACCAACTCATTACTTCTGAAATTTAACTGAATATTTCCGCACGCTCTTTAATTTTAAATATAAAATTATACATTTTCAGTTATTTACTTACATAAATTTTGGACATGAAAATATGACCAATATGACCTAAAAGATGATTATGAACATTATTAAACGATACTGTTGAAGTTGAAGAAAAATGTAATCTTCCAAGTAATACATAGAGTACACATTAATAATCCTCATTAATAAATATTAGAATTAAATTTTATTTTCATATTAAATAAATATAATATAATTTAAATGATTTTTAAAAAAAGTACAGTAACTTTTATTGAAATTCGCGTATTTTTATCCGACATATAGTACGTAATAAAAAATGCCTTTAAATGTCATATTACATAATAATATTACCTAATAACTTTTTTAGAGTTTCAAGTGTTATTGCTGATCATTTATTAAAAAGATCATAAAAAATTCTTGTTCGTTGAAATTCTTATTTTATGTTTTCTTTCAAAGCGAGTATAATTATCGTATATTATAATCAAGTTATTTTTTCAAAGTAAAAAAAAAAAAAAAAAAAAAAAAATGATTTTTTTACAAATTTTTTATTAAACTTTCGTTTAAGGTTATGATTCAAAATTATTACGGATGAAAAATAAAAATCCGGCAATTTTTTTTTTAAATAAATAAAAATATCATAAACCGTACCGGGTATCATACGTTCTATTCAGAGAATAAAATACCGATAGGGAGGATTATATTATGTTTTACATAAAATCTAACTATATAAAGTATAAATATACTATTTAATATATATTTACTTTAAAAGAGATCAAAATAATAATAATAATTTCGGATATTAAAAGAAAATCTATTATTTATTAAGAAAAAGGTAAAATTTCACGCTTAATCATGAAAAACTCGGGTATATATTCTAGCAGGGGAGATAAAATATTAAAATATACAATATAATATACTATATTACTATATAGAACGGATTATTCCGTAAATAATTATTATTTGAAACATTTATAATAATTATTTATACATAAATGTGTAATGTATATATATAATATATATATATGCTGTATAAACATACAATATAGTATATATACTACTATAATAATAATATTATTATTATTTTATAATCTATTAAGGATTGAGCCGTTATATTAATTGTTTAGATTATAAATTTTATTTCATTGACTTCATTCAAATTTTACAGAACGCCCGATAATCTTATCTCTATCCAATTATTATTATGAAAAAACATTAATATTTTAAATCATGCATTTATTCTTATTGTTCTCTTTATTTATTTGTAATTTTTCAATAAAGTATTAATAATTAAATTTTTTTTTTTTTTCTTTTTTTTTTTTTAAAAAAAAACAAAGCCACTTGTCGGTTAACGCTAAGAAGGAATAACCTTTAACCCATACCGTTATCACTTTTGCAAAATAAGGAAACTGATCAGTCACCTATACAGTAAAGTAATAAACCGGACAAGAAGAAGGATATTCATTAAAAATAATGAAAATCGTATTGGTTAACCTGAAGGACCCTGTGACTAAACCTATATATAGAATAATTATTTTATTTCTCTGATAGGCAAAATTATTTCTCATTTAAGTAAATTTGGCGTTCACGATATAGATACAGACGATACACGTAAAAAATTTTATTAAAAAAAAAAGAAAAAATTCAAAACATTTAAACATTCAAAATATAATTACAGTATGTACTGTGCAATAAATTTATAAAGAAACGCGTCCAAATTAATAAAATACAACAAACATTACATTACATGGGGAAGTTAAATTTATAATTAATTAATTATTTTTTTTGAGCATATATTCTAATAAAGTCAGTTTCAGGAAAAGTACTATCAATTTCTTTAAAAGCATCTTTTACCAATTGAAAATACTGTTCTTTCGTTATTTTTAATTGTTTACAAGCATCATTAACAAATGATTCACTTGAATTATTAAACCAATTAAAAACATCTTGTATTATTACACCTAATTTACCACCATTTCTACCCAAAACTAATTCTTTGAAAATAACATTAGGATCTTCAATATTTGGATTTTTTATTAATAGTTGTGGTAATGTAAGTACCAAATCTGGATCCGCTCCATATGAATTTGCTACCAGTTCAACTAATATTAAGAAAAAAAAAATTTCAGTTTTTTAATAATTTTTTAAAAATTAATAAAATAATAAACATTTTCTTAGTGTACTTACATCCACTTAAGAGTAGGCCAAAATTTTCGCCCACGCCTTTATTTCTACAAGTCATGTGAGTTTCAACAAATTCAATATACCCAGATGGTTTCGTTACTCGCACCATTTCATTTATAATAAAATCTAATTGTGCTGGTGTTATAGAAAACAATATTGTTTCTAAATGCACTAAATCGAATGTATTATCAGGGAATGGTAAACCCTGAAACATATCCGCTAATTTAAATTCCAAATTACTTGGTTTTATCTATTTTTAAAAAAAAAACAATTACATAAAAATCAATTTCAAAATAAACTTGAGAGCGAAAAAAAATAATTTTTTACCTCTTGCGGAAAGACAGGTTCGATATCAATACCAAAGAATTTACTATTCGGATATTGTCCCGCAACTTCTAATAAGAAGGTTGAAGGTCCGCATCTATATATATAACATAATTAATTACTCGTAAAATTAAGGAACGGTTTTTAAAAAAATTTATGACAACTCACCCAATATCCAAAACCATACCACCACTAATTAAATTCTCATTAACAGGAGAAGAAATATTACATTTAAATAAATATTTTTTTAAAAATGTATGATTATGTTGCCTATGAACATTATTTTCACTATTGAAATAAAATTTTAAATCTTTATCGTCGTCATTTATTAAAATTATTTCTTCTTCTTTATTCATAATCATGGAGTTAGATTTTTGCTTATTATTATTATTATTATCATAATTATTATTAGATAATTTAGGTAATTTAAATTTTAGTTTTTGCGAAGAATACTTAATTCCCATGATGATGATGTTATAAAAAAAAAAAAATTTGTGTTAAGGACGCGATTTTTTTTTTTTTAAAAAAAAAAGAAAAAAAAAGAAAAGAAAATTCCAATACCAGTTCATTTATATATGTTATAATAGATGCATATCCAACAATACGGATTCAGCTACATTTGGATTTCTCTGTTTTTCTATTTATTCGTACAAATAATTTGCAATTTATTACAGTGTTTTGCCTGCCAATTTAAATTCATGTATCATCAAATGTTGTGCTACAAGTCTTTTCTACATATTAAGTCTAAACGCATCCCTGATAAAAACAATTCATAATCTTTTATTGGTGGCTTTTTGTAATATATTTTGTTTTTTTTTTTTCAGACCATTTATTTTTAAAGTTCGATTATGTTGTACAAAGACGGAGATTTTGCTTACCATTAATTTTTGCAGTATACTTTGTGTTATAAGGATGATTGTACTCTTACTCCCCGGTTTTGTCATGAACAAACAATACAAACAAACCAACTTTAAGAACCTAAATATTAAATAATTAAAACTTTTTATTCGAGGAACTGAAAGTCCACTAATTATCTATATTTATTATAAAATTATGCAAATGAACGAATTTAGTTTATCATGAGATCGATCAAAAAAAATTATTATTGAGCTTATTTTATCTTCCAAATTTGGAAATTTTTAAGAATTTTTTTGGTATTTTTAGACCTGCCATAATTAGGTTTCGCAAAGCTTCAGACCTCTGACATTTTTTTAAAAAAAAATGATGCATGCATTTGAAAAGTTTGGCGTGAACTATACTATTATTATTAATAGATTTTTTTGTACCTATAATGTATTAAATTTTTTAATGCCTAAAAATTTCATTCCATTTAAAAATTCTTTTTTTTTTTTTTTTACAATAGCAAAAAAATTATATAATAACATTTTTTATATGTATATATAAATACATTAAATTTTACAGTAGAATAAGTCTTTTAATATGAAAAAGTATCTTTTTTCCTATTTTCTTTTTTTCTTTTCTTTTTTTTTCTTTTTTTTTTATAGAAAATGAATTTTTTTTTGGACGGCCAAGACGGCCAAGAAGGATAGAGAGAAAAAAAAAAAATTATATATATTCCCACACAAGTTAATCCAAAACAAACAAAATTCCAGAACCTACGTTCTGTGCATAAAAAAAAAAAATGACTAATCCTAATAAAAATAAAACGCCCCATTTTCCTTAAATTTTTCCTTAAAATACCACGTTATAAAACTCTTTTTTTTTATTTTTTTTTCCTTTTATAGAATTTAAAATGTGGGTTTATTGTAAACAATTATTTTTTTTATTATAAAGTTTCCCCATTAATGCATATGAAATAATGAACAAAATTTATTTATAACCGAAAAAAAATTCTCCTTTTTTGATTTCCCGAAAAACGCCCATGACGTTAAATCAATATAATAAATAATGCATAAAATGTTGAATCAATTAGGATCATCACACAATGAATTTGTTATTGTAAAACCTAACATAATTTTTTTTTTTGTTAATTTAATTTATGTAATGTAAATAATTTATGTATGAAAAAAAAAATTTTTAAATGATGTTTCATGTTGTGATAAGAAAATCCTTATGACAAACCAACATAAAAGAGTATGATTTTCTCATTATATGAAAAATAAATTAAACACAAATTACGTACAAATTTATATTAATACATGTTTTAATATAATAAATTTTTTTTTAAAAAGAGGATATTTATTATTATAGAAAAATTCAATTTATTTAATCCTAAAAGAAAATTAACCTTATTATTATTTTTTTTTTTTTTTGATATTTTATTACTAATTGTTTATAAATGTTCTTTTTAAGGTGGTTTGAAGTTTTTCCGAAATTTTTCCATTGAATTTATATTGATGAACCCTTAATTTTATTGTGGTGTTACCGAAGATCTTTTTTATTTCGGAACGGATATTCCGGGTTTTCTTCGTTTTTTTTTGATAATTACTTTCTACTATTTTACGTAAGGATCCGGAATTTTCGTTTTTTTTTTAGGCTATTGAGAGAAAAAGATTTGTTATACAAAAAAGGAAAGCTATTTGATAACTGTCACCAATTAAATATTTGTGTTGAGAGGTTTAAAATGTTGAGAGAGAAATGTGGAAAGTGTGAAACGGGTTTAAAATTTTCATCAATCAAATCACGTCAATCCACCGGAAACTTCCATCTATTGACGAAATTTTTATTTTTTTTGTACGCAAAAAAATTCGGACTTTTTTGAAGAAATTCCCGAAAAAATAATCCAGATCTGGCGAAAAAGGGTATCACGTTTTAAAAAAAAAAAAAGGTAAAAAGATCAAACACTTCAAACAATTAAATTATGTTAATCAATTATTGAAATAGAAATAAACTAACTTTACATATAGAAAATTTATACTAATTAGAGATAAATTTTTTTTTTTAGTTTGTAGTTTTTTTTTTTCTTGTAAATTAAAAGGTTATTGGTAATTTATTTATTATTATGTACCAAGTGTATCCGGTCAAATGATCGTTCATTTGATTCATTTTGATGTCTAATTACGTAATATACAACCACAGATGATCTACTATTGGTTAATGGAAATTAGTCTAAAGATGACGATCTTTATAAATAATTATTAATGAATACCCGCCTGCAAAAATTTTTTTTTTTTTTACATATACAATAATGATAATGAATTTTAAAGTTCCCTTTGTTCTGCTATAAGATGTTCAAGATGTTCACGAACCAATCATTCATTTCATCTATTTTTTAAAAATTTAGCGCATATCGTATTATAAGATATTACATGTAAAAAAAAAAAATCTACACCGTTCTTTATATGAATGTAGGTTTACCGTTTACGGTTTCACCCCTTGTATGAGATTTATAATAATTCTTTTTCGCCATGCAATTGTAATTTAGTCATTTAGTTTACAATATATTTTTTTTTTTTTTTTCTATTTTTAAAAGGAGATAAACGCTTATGAATTTATTTTTAACATTTTTAACGTAACATTAATCTACTTCAAACCCTTTTTTTAAATAAACCAATAATAATTTATCTTGTGTGAAGATTATGAATTGTGAAAATGAATTTAAGGGTTTAAGCATGGATTAATTATCGAATTATCGCCCTTCAAAAATCATTTTCGTGCACGTGTCACGTGTCTGTCGTGTCTCGTCTAAATAATAAAATACTGTTTATATATTCCTTTTTTTTTTTGTTGTTTCACGAAAAATATAAATTCGTGACCAATCTAATAAGGTTACGGTAGAAACGGTACAATTCTCTGAAAGCCATTTCGCCAAAGGGATGTTTCGCTGAAGGGACGTTTCGTCAAAGGGTCGTTTCGCTGAATAGTCCATTTCACCGAATTCCATTTCACCGAAGCAATTTCGCCGAAGGGATGTTTCGCCGAAGGGTCGTTTCGCCAAAGGGTTGTTTCGTCAAAGGGTTGTTTCGCCGAATCGTCCATTTCGCCAAAGGGATGTTTCGCTGAAGAGACGTTTCGCCGAAAGCCATTTCACCGAATTCTATTTCGCCGAAACCATTTTGCCGAATCGTCCATTTCGCTGAATTTCATTTCGCCGAAACCATTTTGCCGAATCGTCCATTTCGCTGAATTTCATTTCGCCGAAACCATTTTGCCGAAAATAATAGAAATGATAGCGATTATCACTTTTATAAAAATATTAATCGCGTAATGAAAATAAAAATTTTTTTTTATCTATTTATTAAGGAACCTTAATAGATATTCTTATTACAACTCGAATATATAAATGACAAATGTATATAAAATAAAAGAAGTTGAATAATATCTTTAATTCTTGATTGAATACTTTAATATTTTCATTTTTTAGTTTTTATTTTTACATTCTTTTGCCACGTCACCAATTTTTACAATAAAAATAAAAATTAAATAAGCGTTTAAATTTTTATTTTTAAGTGACTTTTCTTCTATAATATCACTTTAACATTCAAGTAACTGATATTAATTGTTACTACGTAATAAATAAATAACTTTATTTTCTTTATTTTCTTTATTTTCCTGAAAACGTTTAAATATTCACGAAAAAGTAATTATATTTTGTGTTATAGTCTTCTAATAACATATAATGCTTGTATGCACAAAATATTTGTATAATATGTTTATATATATATATATATTTATTTAAAAAAAAACTGATTATCGATTTCTTCAATTAATTAAAAAATCAACAGAAAATCAAAAAACTTCAAAATCATAAATGATAATTATAATCTAATGTTCAAATCTATTTCTGATCATGAAATTCACCAATCTATGACTTCTTTCCATTCGGTGATATGGCTTCGGCGAAATAGAATTCGGTGAAGTGGATTTCGGCGAAACGTCCCTTCGGCGAAACATCCCTTCAGCAAAATGGCTTCGGCGAAATTTACGTGTACGAGGCCGCTCACAACATAAAAATTTAATTTTAAAAAGAAAGGATTGATTTATTAATATTTATTTCACTATAATATAAAATAATAATTAATTCGTGATCTGCAAGTATGTATTTCTTAAATATATTTTTAAATATTAAGGTAAATATATAAATGCATTAGTTGGCTATATTTACTCAAAGTTTTGACACCTTTTCTAAAGAAATAAAAAATGTTTTATATGTGGTAAAGTTTTTCACTATAATCCTAGATTCCCGTGTAACAATACAGACGACTACTTATGCATTGGTGCATATGGTGCATGATATTATACAAAGTCCCAAAAAGTAAAATTTACTCTATACTAAAGTAGAAATTGGTGTTAAACCAACTTTTGATAAAGAAAATTCATGTAAAGATCTGTTTTATGATTTTATACTTCTCCCGTATTTGATTAATTTTTAGACGGATTACGAATTAAATATAGAATTAAAAAAATAAATAAATAACTTATAACTTACAATCTATTAAATAAATAAAGAAATTAATTAGTTTAAATTATATGTAAATATTATAACAATAAGTAATAATAGAATTAAAAAAATAAATAAATAAATAAATCAAAATACAATTTGTTAATACAAAATAAATTTAAAGATTATTAACATCGATATCAATTTTTTTCGGTGATATATTCTATATTTTATAAATTTAAGAAAAATATTAATATTATCATTTATATTCGTAAGGCCGCTCCAATAAATAATTTCGTTCCCCCCATTTTTGCCAAAACAAACATTTTGTAATTAAATATTATTAGTCAATTAGCTTTATTAGTCACATGATTGGTTAAAAATTTTGTATGTTTAAAATTTTATTATGATCACCCCCTAATTTCTTATGCCATGTGATGTTAAACGAAACTATTTGTTGGAGCGGCCTAAATAACATAAATATATTTATTTACTTACCGTTAATTGAAGTTGATTAATCGCTAATTCGATTCCTTTCATAAAATATTCTAGTAAATCTTGATTAATTTATGAAATACTACTTAAATAAAATAAAAAAAACCATCCATTATTTACCATAATTTTCATTTTTGAATAAATTTCTTCTTTTAATATTTTGGTCTAAATAATATTTTTAATAAAGACTTCTATTGTGGTTATAAAAACTAAAATTTCATTGAGTATAACGAAATATTGTTTTTCGAGTTTACTATATATATGTTTACCGTCTTCGATTGAATTGAACAATAACTAATTGTCCGGAGCGATGCGTGTCTACGCACTATGAAAAAAAAAAAAAAAGATCACGTGAATTTCTCTGTCCTCCACGTGATCGTAATCCAATGAAATCGCAAATTTTAGTTTTTCGCTTCGGATTTACAACGGTTCCCGTTTACTAGTTAAATAGATACCAAGAGGTGCTGCGTTATTTTTTCGATAATAATAACACGGATCCAAATAATTATACATATAAAAATAAATGAAATCAAAATTTTTCTTGTTTTCGTTAAATAAATAGTCCAAAACTATCCCCTCCTCGCCGAAATCAACGCCCAAAGAGATTGAAGAGATCATCTAAAAAGATCAAACCGCTAGCAAAAGAAATCATACAAAAAAAGATCCCAATTTAGTTCCGTCTAAAAAAAAGAAAAAAGTGAGAGAAAGGAGAAGTGCGAAGATAGAGAGAAAGGGGGAAAATGAAAAGAGGGGAAGGGAAATTACGAGAGAAGGGAAAAGGAGAATGGGAGAGAGAAAGTTCGTTGAACATAAAAGTGAACTTTTTTTAAATTTAAAAAAAAAGTACGTCGTTGCGATTGCGTTGTTAATAATATTAAATCACGTGATACACGTGATACTTAATTCAATATAAGCGTGGCTGCGTGGGCCTGTTTTTCGATAAATAGGTTTTCTTATAAATTTTTATGTATATAATGTACTGTACATATGTTTAACCTTAAGAAAAGCCCCTCCTCTATAAACAATAGAGGTCATTAATACATATTAAGAGTGCTCTCTCCGGCAATAAGGTTTAGTATATTAAATTATAAATAAGCAAATTACAAGAATTTAATATTATAATACTATAGCAATATTTAAACAAAAATATTTTATTTATCTATTATTCATACTATAATCATATTACAAATGTTGAAACATATTTACTATGTGTAATTAAAGCTTTCAGAGATCTCATCATAAGCCACTATTATTACGTGATATCGCTACAAGTTGAATACATGGAATTTAAAAGGACTTATTCAACATGATGGCGAGTTAAAGGAATAAATTTTTTTAAAATAATTTTTGATTTTGCGTCACTTATACACGTGAATAAGAAAACATTTTATCAAAAAGGTTCATACGGGTATTATATATAAAATTTCAATTTCAATTATTTCTGTAAATATTTAATTTCTAACAAGAATTTACTTTATGATGTCTTTATGATGTGAGATTATTTTTTGTACGCTTGTAACAAACAAAAAAGATCGGCAGACCAGAATAAGGACAAATCCGCCAATCTGCAGAATACATATTATTTTTGGTCCTATTGTTGCCTTTTTATGGAATACTAATCAAGTTGTACAATTCCGAAAATTGATAAATTTATTTCATTTTGAAGTGAAAAGCAAAACTCCTTTTTTCCTTTACCAACATGGCATGCTCGAAAATATTTTTAGGAGATTTACCTGAGTTAATAAATAAAATCATACAATATTTTCATATAAATGATTATAAAACATTACATTCGTGTATACTTGTTAATAGATTATGGTGTCGGGTAACAATTCCATTATTATGGGAAGATCCATTTTCAATAGAATCCCCTAAAAATTATCGTTTTATTGAAATTTATTTATGCTTTTTAAATGAAGATAGTAAAGCAAAATTTGATGAATATGGAATTAATGATAATTTATTAGTACCTTCGAATAATACATTATTCAATTATCCTAGTTTTATTAAATACTTGGATACAGATAAAATATTTTATTCTATTAAATATTGGGTTAATACTTTAGTAGATAAATATAATGATAAGTTAATTTATATAATTTATAGGTCATTATTTGAAGTGTTTATTGGAAATGAAGGAAATATATATTCTTTTAAATTTAAAATGAGTAATAATTATGATTATATGGATTTGATTTTACAAAATCCAAATCTTATATGCAATATCAGAAATTTAAATTTAAATGGTTGTGCCATTCAATTTCAAAATATTATTCCACTTTTGAAATTTTTATATTCTAATTGCAATTCAATTTCATCGATTATTTTTGATTTTAACGTTTATTTTAGTATCAATAATTATTCATTAATTGAAAAATGTTTAACACAAATAATTATTTCACAACATAATCTCAAAAAAATTTTATTTAGAATTTTTAGTAATTTAAATTTATATAATCCATTTTTATCATTAAAAAATTCTAATTGTTCAAATACTTTAAATACAATTATATTTTATTCCACTAATTTTAAAACTATAATTAATATTTTATATGAGGTTTTTGATCATTTAAATGTTTTAGAATCTATTCATCTTATTTATTGTAATTATTTAAATTCTGATTTTGTTCAACAAATTATTAAGGTTACTAAACCTTTTAAATTGAGAACTTTGATTATGAACTTTGAAATAACACATATATTATGTATTGAATCATTATTATTACTTTTACAGAAATTTGGTAATTATTTAGAAAATTTTGGATTGGAATTTGTTGATATAATAGACGATTATTATGAACCAAGATCAAAACGACAATTATTTGAAATTATTATGAAAAATTGTAAAAATATTAGATATTTTGATTCTAATGTATTTGATGATAATAATATTTACTTAATCATTAAAAATAATCAACATAATATTAATTATCTTACTATTGAAGTGAATTTTTATGATTATGATACTGTTTATAATGAATTTAGTTCAACTGTATTAAAAAATTTAGGACAGATTCTTCCTTCTAAATTAGAATATTTATGTTTGACTCTTTTATTTAATAATAGTGATCTGGAAATATTTTTAAAAAATTCACAAAATACTTTTATTAAGAAATTATTAATTAGAAATATAGTGGTGAATGAAGATGAAAATATTAATAATATTAATATTTTATTTTATATAAAAAAATATATTTTGAAGAAGGAAAGGGTTAAATATTTGGCTATTTTAGAATCAGATAATGATGAAGACGAATTATTTTTTTTTAAAGAAGAAGTAAATGAATTTAAATTATATAATATTATAGTTCAAAAATACGATGATTTATGTATCTATCATTATAGTTATATAATTAATAATTATTTACAATATTAATAAATAAGGTGTAATAAACTGGTTATACTAAGATTACTGAAATATTTTTGTTTTTTCATCATGATATTGTACGTTTTTTATATGGTTAAAAATTCTCAATCTCCGCATCTTGTATTAAATTGTAACAAATATTGTATAATAGCGTGCAAGTGTCCGGAAAATTGACCCCATTCCGAATATTTATCGGACAAACATTTTTTATAGAGTTATCTTTCAAGTTACTACTAATATTATAAAAATTATTACTTAAATAATGTATCAAATTACCTGAATTGTAATAATTCATAACAATAATAATATCTTTGGTAAAGGGATCTATAGTTATTCCAAAATATTTACTAGTGTTATATATATCTACATTTCCATTTGAACAAAGATTAAAATATCGCATATCCTGTACCTCATTCAGTTCCATGGATGTTACCTTTAAGTTTTTTAAGAACAACTATATAATTATTCTCCCGAACAATATTATAAATACCATAACGAATCATATTCCAATTATTGATCGGTCCATCAACCCAAATAGCTTTATAAATTTTATATTTTTGAATTGATCATAAGAAACCAATTCCAATTTTCCATATTCTGTAACATAATTAACTTACTTGATAAAGTTGTCAATAATTTATTTCCGCTTGATTTAAATAACCTCTTTATTATGTGACAACAATGGCAAATCTTGACACCCTTTAAAATTCTTCTTACTTTCTTACATTTATCACATATCTTATATAAAAACTCGCTTGCTGACAATTTATGTATATAGTTTCGTCGGATTGTTATAATATATCAATTTTTTCCTAATAGTTCAAGAAAATTATTCACTATATATATACTCCAAATAATAAAATTGTAGACAAAATTTAACTAATGAATTCTTTCATAAAGATCCTAAAATTACAACCGTTAATTCTTTGTAGAAGTTTCTAACCGGAAATGTTAAAAATCTAAAACTATCTAGTTGGAAATAAATTTTTAATAAGAATTTCTTCGGAGAATTTCTCAACGATTTTCTAAAAAATCGTTAAATTAAATATCTTCAAATCTAAATTCCTCCACCTCCACCTCTCCACTTCCATTTCCGCTTCCATCTTCCTCAAATATTGTGGCGTTACCACCACCGGGAGCCATGGGAGGTCCACCGCTACCACCACCAAAGTGCAATTTGATGAAAAAATCAATTATTAATTAATTCAGATTCTGAAAGAAAAACATGGATATAAGAAAAAATCACATAAAAGAATAATATTATTACCTGATAGACAACTCCTTTAGTTTAACCAGTAGTGATTTAAGAAGGCCTGCTTTACAGCCTTAATTTCTTAAAAATGATCCTGTAGCAAAAATATCTAATGTTAAAGAAGACAAAAATTCAACTCTTAAGTCCATTATTTTTTTCTATTTAAAATGTGAGAATTTAAGTTAAAATACAGAGATAAAAATTGATTAAATTATTTAAACATTTAAAGATCTAAAACAATAAAATATCATAATTTACCATGAATCCTGTTTTTTAAAAAAAATGCACATATACCAAAGCTATAATAAGCGACAAATGATAATACCCAAAAATCCTTCCAAGTGCGCGTGTATCAAATGTCAAACAAGAGTGTCCATGTAAACTTTCAATGCAATATTACATTTGTGAGATAAGTTCCGTGTTAATTGCTGAGAGATTTGAAATAGGAGCTGCAAGTACTTGATAAATGCTTACATAAATCTACTAGATATTGATAGAAGATCATAATAAATGTATATCTTTAAGAAAGACGAATATTACTTCTGATCATTCCGGTAATTATTTCACTTACATAAGTATCATTAGGTCAGCTAATTTCATCATTTTGACTTGATCTTCTCATTCAAAAAGCGGTTGATGACAAAGTTGATAGTTGTCTTACCAATTTGATGAAATAATTATTTGTAAACCAATAATTGTTCTGATCTGAATCTTATTTCTGTTGGACTTTTCACTAAATCATTTGAAGATTCATTTGGATTATACCATAAATTTGCTGCTACAGTACATAATTGTTTACAATTTGATTAGCTTTGTGCAAAAAAAAAAAAGTTTTAATTGAAAAATAAAATTGCTAACAAATCACCAATTTGTGGCTGCCAACTTTCACAACGTCACTTCTTCTACCTACGAAAGGTTGAATAATGAGACAATCTTTCATTAAAAATGATACATCATTGTCATCAAGAACTCAATATAATCATTTATATCAACAGTTATAATGGGCTTACTAGACTTAGTTGTAATCACTTTCAATAATGAATGGTGATGTGGAATTCGAATGTGACTTTGAACTTCTTTTGCTGCTTTAGAATTTCATTCTTGCAACTTGAAATTAATATTGGTCAACTTGATCTCCTTTACTATCTTTCACAAGATTTTGATGATATATTTTATTCATAATTGTATGGCGGTTTCAGCGTTTAGGTGAGCAACTGCAACAAAATTTCGTAATAGGAATTTTTGAGATTTATCTATAAATAAATTCTAAAAGCATAGAGTCCGGTCCTGAATCTATCCGACTACAACAAAAAGCTAGGCACAACCCTCGTGATGTTGTCAAAATCTTAAGCTTCTTCACGTCATAGATAGTAAATTGCCAGTAAAAACAAGTTTGCACATTTCTTCACCTTGAAGTATTTTTTTTGATTCTGGAAACATTGTACTAGCTTTATTGAATATCTTTTCAATTTTTGTAAGAGGAGTACTGATCACGCACTGTTGATTCATCTTGAACTTCAGTTGATTACCCTTTCATCATCATCATCAAATTCGTTTTTTTGATCTGAGCATTTTAGTTGCACACCACTAGAGGTTTTTATAATCCTTGATCACTACCAAGCTATCTTAAACTTAAACACTCCATCATCATTATCATCATTCGCATTCTGTACTTTGCTATCTGATGCCTAGGAGAGATGGTATAATATCAATTTCCACATCATCACCATTACACTAGAAATAGCGACAGCATTTTTTCTTAGTTGTTAATATTTCAAATTTTGGTATTTTCTGATTAAACCATGTTGATTGATGAGTGGTGTAGAAGTAGAACCAGATTTCTTAATTTGGAGGCCTTGCGATTCGCGAGTTTGTTATCTAAATTTTGGTTGAATTAGAATTATTACAAGAATTAAGAATTTTGTCATGACACATGATTATGAAAAGTTTCAAGAATATATCATTTTTATTTTTAAATCATCATTTTACCAACATTGGACTTTTCCGGGATCCATGCAAATTGCTATTTAGTCCCAAAGTGATACAAGCTCCTCTACTTTATTGTAGTTACAGCACAGACCGATTTTAAAAGATTGAGATGCTTTTTTAACGTTCTAAAACGTTTTTTCGTAGATATAGGTGAAAGACCCTTAAACATGAAAAATCTTGTAATAATGTTTTCGTAACAAAATCCATCATTCCATCAACTGTAATATTATGGTATGAAATTTATGCATTAAAAAGAAATCTTTTTTTTACATTTATATTTTTAGAACGTACCCTATTTTAAAGAATCTGGTCCTGGCTGAAGAATTGATCCAACCATAATTATTTGTTGAGATTTCCAGAAGCTCTCCAAAATGAGATGATTCAACATTATGCAGGCCTCAAACAGATCACATGAAAGCGGTACCTCTGGTACCAACTCTTCATCTGGAAGTTCTAGTCCATCATCTGATTCATCCCTTAAAGAAAATAGGAATTCGAGAGAAGAAAAAAAGCATGGAGGAAAAACACCAAAGATTTCAAATATTAGTGTGTAGCTCATACCATGAGATTTGGCAAATGTATGTTGTGTACTACCAAGGTGTCACTATACAAGAAAATTTTTGAGAATCGTAAATTTTGAAAAATTGATTTCCTTTTAGGGTGACATTAGCTGTAGCCTGTTGCGTTGCAACAGGATTAAATCAATATAACAATATATTTTTTTGTTTTATATTTAGATAAATTAGATTTTATATTATAACATGATCTGATATTGGCAAATCTGTAGGTAAAATTATTGTCCAGAGCGAAGTGAAGAACATTATACTTTATGTACTAAAAATTGACAAATCACGTGAGGATTCCATTTGTTATGCGCGTCACTGTCGCATTATTTCTGATTGGATAAATTGGCATCAAAATCGTCAAAACAAACGATTATGCTCGTTATGCTCGTCACGCTCCGGACTCATAATGTTTTTTTTTAGTTGTTGATTATTTTCTTTCTAGTTCACCAAAATAATCTATAACTGAACGCAACAGCCACGGTTTCTTCCTTCGCTTCTTAAAAAGAAGACCTAAAAAAAGAAGACAAAAATAGAAATTTCACGACATAAAACATAAATAAAATTAAAAAAAAGGTTTACCTGATGTAAAAAAGAAGTCAAAAAAAAAAGACGACATATTCATTATTTACTTTTTAATAACCAGGTAAAAATCCTTGTTTTAGCAAAGTTTTATTTTGTATGAAGTGACTAAATAAATAATTTAGCATATTAATTGTTATCATCGTTATTTTTTTAGCATGTTACCATGTCAAAAAATTTATACAAGGTGATATGTTGACAATATGTGAGCTAACAAGTCACCATTGGCGCCCGTTAACTGCATCTGATAAAAATAAAAAATCTACAATCATTTCCGTTGGCTTTTCAGCTTTATGGGCTAATCCATAGGCAAGTGTAGATAATCTTGTTTCCTAAAAGAATTTAAATACTTATTAAATCCAAATTTGTGTTTTATCCTACATCAACAGAAAGACATTTGCGACTTAATTATCAATGTTTTCAACACACTATCTCGTAAAATCATTGATTTTGGTGGTTGAAGCTAAGAGAAAGCATGTTTTGGAAGATATCAAAGAACAGACTTTTCCCGATTTTTATCAAGCGAGTGAAAAGGCTAGAATGGTGATTCAACAAAGATATGGTATTCTTACCACTTACGATAATCACTGGTTTCTGCGCCGAGAGCACACGGCTCTGGATCTCAAAAACCCTTCCACTGCAATCCAAATCTCCACCAGTACTTATATGCTTACCTAACTCGACAAGCGAAAGAGAATCCCAAGTCTCCTCATCCTCAAGTACTAGATAGTGTCAGTTCACGGGGACAATAATTCACGTACTTTTCGATCACATTCGAAATCGTCTTCCAGCTCCTCAAATCAACAGACTTCAAATCAACAATCGTCTTCTAACATTCCCGTAAATCAACAAAATTATGGTTTTACGGACTTCAAGTTTAAGGACATGAAGGGCGAAGTGGTAAAACACTCCTATGCGAGTTTCGTGGCGATACGATTGCTTTATAAAGACCTCGCTGATATTCAAGGCAAGTACACCCAAAGTTGATCTGTTATAGATATTACGGAGGAGGTATGAGTTTCGTTATCGGCATGACCATTGTCGGTACTATGTTAAACGAGCATAAAATAACGAAACGGCAAAAGACAAGGGCTATTAAGGGGTTAGAAGCAATCCACAAGCATGGCATCCTCCACAATGACATTCGGGAGGAAAACATCCTAATTAACGATAACTGATTGACTTCGGGATAGCAAGTCGGGCGAACACAAAAAAGAAGAGAAAGCTTTTTGAGCCGGAAATGTCAGGTGGTTAGTTAGACTGTACGATAGGATTAATCATTGGTATAGAAACTCCATCATGTATCACGGGTTATGTCCCGAACTTTGTATTTATCTTTGCGTGTATTAATAAAAGATTTTTCTTGGCAAAAGTGATTGGCGTGATTATTATTTTGAATATTAGAGTATAAACAGTGTTATCAATCATGTCAAACGCTCATTTTCTGAAAATTATGTAGGTGATCAGCGCTTGTTAATTTAGACAAATATAAAATGATAGACGTTCAACATAAAGGTATGACATAGGTAAAATCGAAACAAACTGACCACTTGTCTATTTTCGTCTTAGCAGCTTTGTTCAGTTTCACTGATTGACATAGGTTAAATAAGTTAAATTGAAAATCAACCAAAGATTTGATATTGATGCTCCATGGATGTAAAAGATGTCATGACATATTTTTTATTTTTCTAATTTTTGTTTTGATTACAATTTTAATGATACAGGAAAAAAACAAATAAATAACTCCATGAAATCTGATAAATTTTGGACAAATTCTTAAAAGAATGTTAACCGTCCATTTCTTTAATAATTTGAAAAACTTCATATTCCTCTACAGAAAACGCATCTTCAGTTTTTCTTATTCGTTTTTTATAAGAGCGTTTTCTACAATAACTCCTTTCATAAAAATTATCACCCCATATAGTAAGATCACCACCTTGATTACCAAATAATGGACCGCAATTACGTACATTAAATATAGCATATTGTTCATTCTTCACACGACTTAAAATATGATTTTCAACGCTATCAACACTCTCAAAAGAGAATATAAAACTATCATTAGTAGTGCCATAAACACGTTCGTCATGCTTCCATTCAATTGGATTATAGCCTCCAAGAATTTCGTTACTATTCTTCACTTTAATGACTGATACAGTGCAAGATTGATTATCACAGATCTCATGGAATTTACCAGGTGAAAACCCATCACGAGAACCACGGAGTATTAATTCGAATTTATATGAAGATGTCAACTTATCTGTAGTACTTAACTTGTCAATCCATTTCGAGATTATTTCGGCGTGTTTAAATGTAATTATATTTGAATCGACATTTTTTAATTTACGAGGTTTTGATTTAGCGATTGACATGCTATCAGGATGTAAACTTAAAAAAGTTCTAAACAAATCCACATATAATTCCTCAGGCAGAATTTCCCTATAAGGTATTACCGAATCTAAAATTTCTTTTGAAGTCAAATTGTAGAATCTAATAAAAGGAATGCAATGTTGTAAAGTATTCTTTAATACACTGAAATAATCTTTTGACAATCTTGTAGGATCAGAAGATTCAGGGTTTTGAGCGTGTCCCCATTTAAGAACATTTTCCCAAACTTGAATTTCATTCATTTGAAGATTATCACTTTGAATAAGAGAAATCAAAATTTTTTCTGAAATTGATGAGAAATTTAATGATTTGAAAATTTTGTCTGGCTCTTTGGATATTAAATCGGTACAATAATTTTGAAGTTCCAAGAAAGAATTATTTTCATTATTTTCAAAGCTCGTTTGATAGATAAAATTAAAATTTTTCTCTATCCAGTCCGAATTATTTTCAATCAAAGAGGTTTGTAAATATTTAACTAATTCTTGAAGATTAAGCTCATTGGCAGCAACTAAGATTTTAATAATATCTGAAGTATCATATTCTCCAAAAAGAAATTTTCCTCCATAAATATATCTAAATAAAAAAATTTAATAATCAAATTTATTAAAATAATAATAATTTAATAATTTCTAACCTTATTATTGCTTGAAAAATTTCAGGTGATATATTTGGTAATTTAATATGTACTAGAGCTCCATCATTTTTCTTTTTATTTGTTGATAAAATTCTTCGTAAATAAGAAGAACGATAGTTTAAAATAACCATATGAGCTCGAAAGATTCTCACGTTAGGATCACTACCAACTTCAATTGTAATATCATAATATTCTTCATCGTTCAAAATTTCAAGTAAATTTTGGGATAATTCTGATAAAAATTTATTATCGCTCATTATAATTGATTTTTTTTTTATCTTTTTCTCTTTTTGTGAAAAAAAAAAAATAAACCCAAAAGGGCTAATCTTGTGATTGGTAAACCTTAAATATTTGTTTTCTGAATCGGGAAATCAAGAATTATAATCGTTAATTTGTTAATTCTGGCCGGCAATATTAAATTACTATAGTTGGCAAAATAAATTGGTATAATTTTGTAGTTAATATCATAGTCGTAGTTGTACTGTTGTAGACCAAATCAACCATGTCTTACCATCGGCCTATAGTGCATTTCGGAGAATATGTTATTGGTGGTGGAATACATGACAACGTCTCTTCCAAGGTAGTTTCAGCCTTTTACGAAAGTAAGTGATTAAATAATATTTAATTTTATTTTATCTTTTTTTTATTAATTTCTCTGCCACATTAATTTTGGCTTGTTATTAAATAATTTTTTAAATAAAGGCTTTTGATATTGTATTACATATTTACATGCACCGTAAAATCTTATTTTTTATTTTAAAAGTTTAGACAATGACGGAAGCCTAACGAAATCGCACTAAAACCCAATAACCCCACTGTAAAATCTTATCGCACATAATCAATACATAATTGAAAGATACGTCCAAGTCACATGTTGAATGGAGAATATACATAACAGAATTGGGATATCAAAATATTTGCCACCACCGCCGCCTAATTCTATATATCTTTTTGCAGAATAATATATAACTTCAGTCTAACTGGAATGTTAAGAATCTCAAAAAATTCTATAGATGATCACAATTAGGAAAAATAACCAGAAATGATTAGAGATTTTTTAGAGATTTTTTTGTATTTGTCAAATGCTGCAGTTACAGGCACCAACGGTGATTTGTTGCTCAGTATAAGATTCACATATTCTTAACATTTCTCCTAGTATAAATTTTTTGACATGCTAAAAAAATAAAGATGACTTCACACAAAATAAAACATTGCTAAAACAAGGCTTTTTACCTGATTATTAAGATTACTTTCTCATATTGCGGTTACCGCACTATGGAAGAACGTCACTATAATTAAACCAATCGCTAGATCCGATAAATGACCCTAAAATTTCTTGTCTCTTATTTTTCACATAAAAGTTTTATTAAAAGTAGTAAATAAAAATATTTGTTCAAAAAAATAAAAGTTAACCAGAAGGGATCTTTTTGAATTCGAGTTAGTGAATCAAAGAGTGAGAAAATGCCATTAAACTTGACATAATTCTTGCACTTATCAATTAAGAGAAATTATAAATATTTAATTTTTACTTTCACAACAATACATGTACCTATTCTTTGAAATATATACGTATAAATTTTAAAAGGAATTCAAATAAGTTACTCTTTGAAATGATTATTCAAAGAAAACAATACGTCGATCATTCATGTGTGAGTATCCTTCAACTGCGAGTATCAATATTTAATTTTAATAAAGTAAGAAAAATTTTTTTTTTTTTGTATGGCCAGATTAATTTGCCTGGTTTTAGTTTTGGCGTGTGGTCGTTGAAGGGTTCAAAATTTGAACGATTGTCCCTATGTTAGAATTATTGGTAAAAGGGGTTAGATAATACCATCTAACATCTATTAGGAGTTTCCAACATTATTAAAAAAAAAAAATAATTAAATTAGCCCAATAAAAAAAAATTGAATCAAATTTTGTATAATAAAGTTATTGGATGGAGTAAAAATATCGGTCACCATAGGGGTGACTGATATGTTACTCTCCCAACCTAATTTTATCTCACTCATTTTTATTGGCAAAAATAATCGGTATGATCCTAATAGGTTGCACAATAGTGTTCTAAATGATTATATCGCACGTTTCATATCATTAACTTCCTTATGAATTCTGTTTATTATTAATGTCAAACACGCTGTATATTAACACATACTATATATATATACGACTATTTTAATTAAATTAAATTATATTTATTTTTACTCACCTTAGGAATCGAACCAAACACCTCCTAATACTATTAATTATCTCACAATCTAACCACTGTACTATTTAATTCTTCAGATATAAAAAAAATACATTTATAGGATCTTTATTGATGCAAGAATTTAAATCAGTTATTAATCACATTATCAACTTCAAATTTTCTTATTAACTTGAATAAATCGCATATTCTCATAATTATAGATTCACTTATACCTTCAAGATCATGTTTTACTATCAAAGGAGATGGTCTGTTATTTCTCAAATTATGCCAGCATAAGAATAACCGCTCTCCATATTAAAATAAGGTTATGCATAACGAGCGAACAAAAGTATTTTACAGTTTTATTAGTAAAAACGCCCGGTGATGTCTAGGCACTATGTACCCTACTACTATATATATTTTTAAGCCCTATATATGGCACCATCAAGTAGACCTAATAAATTCAATGCCTAGAGGATTCAATAGCGATAATATACCTAATAAATTAAACCTATCAAATTAAATAAATTACATATTTGATATGTTTAATGTTATGTACTTTTAATAAATACAAAAAAATGAATATGTTTTTTTTCGTTTTACGTATATTAAAGTAGGTTTATAGCTCCCGAAATTTTAAGAGGAAAGGAATATACTCAAACGAGTGATATTTATAGATTCACCATGATTTGTCATAGGATTGAGACCAGAATCTAATCTTAAACTCTTCCGTCAATTTTTTACACAATTAATCTGAAGAATTTCAGAAGTTATTTTATGATGAATTTTAAATAGAGATTGTTAATAAAATTCTGTAATCTATGAACGAAAGGGTAGACTAAGATTTTAAAATCTTCCGGTCGAAATAAGTAGTGATGTATTCAACTGGCAGGAATTACTGATGTTAAATAGGTATTTAAAAGGTTAATATGACAATTAAAATTTAATCACGTGTTTTTAAAGAATAATTGTAGTTTGAATATATAAATCACGTAAACTACGAAACTTTATATATATACAAAAAACCTAAATAGCTAATTTAACATATTATTCTTCCTAATGGATTTCCTCCCTAATACTTTCGAATTAAACATTACGTAAATGTTGCTTTAAAATCACATTTAAGATGGACCATTTAGTAATTTAATATGCGCCAAAGTTCCTTTTCGCAAACAAGGATAACAGACACAATACTATTCTGGTAATAAATAACAATTTTATTTTTCCTCAATTAGAAAAGGTCATTTACGCAATTACGTTGTACGTGGCACTTGCATATACATTTATTCATCCTTCAATCTTATGCAAGGTACATTACGTTCCCTGTTTTTTACTTTTATTATTTTTTTTTGAATTTTCTTTTATTTTTTATTTTTTTTATTTTTTTTTTGGCAAAAATTAAATATTACGATATTATTCAGAAATACCTAAATTAGAATCGGTCATGGATCCGAAAGTGACCGAACTAAGTAGTAAAGATCAAAATGATTTATCTGTAAATAGCGTGGGAAAAACTGAAGAACCGAATAACGATAAATCACTTACCGATGATTTAAGGTAAGAAAAAATCTTTTTAATAACTTCGTCGAGTTTCTCTTATTTATTATTTTTTTTTTACTTATTAAATACTGCTTTTTTTGCTTTTTTTTTAAGTCGAAAAACAACAAGGTATGAACGGCAAATTTTGACGTGCGATAAATTTTTATTCATAGATATTAATTTATTGGTAATACATAATATATTTTTAGACAAGAAACAAAAGAGAGTCGTTCATCAAGTTCTTCAATAAGTCAATTACCAGAACAACAAACGGTAGATTATATGTAAGCTATCTGTCTTATAGTACATTTAATATTAATACCTTTTATTAACATTTAGCATCAAATAATATTTATTATCACTTAGGCAAACATCTTCAGAAGAATCATCTACTGAACAACCTGAAGATGGTTCTAGGTTGGCCATTATTTGTCATATTCTATCATTATTTTGTTAATAAATATATCTTTATATGACTCTCAAATTCTATTTATTTAAAGGAAACGTGGTAAAAAGAGAGTAACGAATAATCCTAATCCTGGTCGCGGAAATGAGTTTAAAAGAATATCAAAACGTGTTAAGGTTAAATGGAATGAACGGGAGTTGCATGCACTTGAAGAAGGTATACGTCAATATGGTAAATCTTGGACAAATATAAAAAAGAAATATGGAAGTGAAGGTCAAGTTCTTGAGCGCCGAACTCAAACGCAACTGAAAGATAAGGCTCGTTCTGAATTGGTTCGTCGATTACGAGATGGAGTTGAACTTGGTGACTTTGAGATCATGGATAGTATATAATTTTTGATTAAAATATATCTAGTAATAGCGTAAAGAAATTTAATGTTTAAAAAATTTCTTTAATGAATAAAATATACAATATAACGAATTCTCAGTTTACGAAACTTTTTGGTAAAATAAATTTATTCATAAAAATGATACACAAATAAATAAACAAATCAATTGCTGTTTGATTTACATTTAATAAAAACTTTTATGAGGGTTATTTATCAGATCTAGCGATCGGTATAATTCTTTTCCGTGGTGTGGTAACCGCAACGCGAGAAAGAAGTAATCTTATATCCTCAGAAATGATAAATAATAGCCTTCTTTATTATCATAGTTATTTAAAAATAATGCAAGTTAAATATTTACTTTATATTTCCTTTCGCGATATGAAAAATGACTAATAGTACCGCATGATCATGTAGTACAATGATTTTGACATCATACTGTATTCCCACAATATCAATATCTTAATATAAAATTATTTAAAAATATAAATCATGTCGGACATATAATTACGCCAATCTATTGATCACAAAGCCACTCGATCAATATTAGTCATTTTTTTACTCACGTCGCGATTTTATATACCCTCAACATATATATATACCACCAGTTTTCTCTCTAAAAAAAAAAAAAATACTTCCAAAACCATTTTCAGAACACCATACACACTCACACACAGCCCAAGCTACCTGTACAATAGGAGAAATAGGAGCGCAACCTAAGCAGCTCTCTGCCACGCAATGCTTGAAAAGCTTATTGTCGTCACCTCATTCAAGCTAAGGTAAGACGAAAGTCTCAAATTTTCTCCTTGCACTTCTTAGCGAAGACCGCAAGTCTTGACGCGGGTCAAGACAGTTAAAATTTTGATCAAAGCTAATAGTAAATATTTATTATTTTATATACTTATTTTCTTAGAGATACGCCCATTCAAAATTTTAAAATAATTTTCTCCGAGTAGCGGGAAATTATTTTCTACCTTGTCAAAAACTAGACCGTAATATCAATGCCGCAGTACCGCTTATGGAGTTCTTGAAAAGAGTGCGTATCAAGTATTAAAAACGCGAAACGCGAATATTTACCAGTTACAGCACTAGACAACAGACGAAAGCTCTTCATTACCGGTTTTCTAGATGAGTGTGAAATGGCTCAGTAGATTTTAAAAGAGGTGTGTATTTTTTATTTTGCAAAGTGGGTAACTTCCTAAGCTAAAATTAGAACGGATAACTCATCGAGTCGGGGAGTTCACAAATTTTACTTAGGAGGGTACTGGATTTATTTGTTTGGGTTGGGTAAGGGTGAGCAAAGTGGGTAATTCCTATGAAATTACCTGCTTTTTCTTTTTATTTTATTTTTATTTTTATTTTTTTATTCCCCTTTTTTTATTCCCCTTTTTTTCTTTTCTTTTTTTTTTATTTCTCTTGTTCACTTGATAACCAACTCAAGCAAATAACATCCTACTTTGTTATTGATAAAGTCTGCTAATTCTAAAGGAGGAATTGGCTATGTCTTCTTTACCATTAAATAAAATTTAGCACACTATTAATAATTTCTTCTTTCTTATAATAGGTAAATGCGGAGATTTACAATCACTGGTAGAATGAAGAAATTTCAACTTCAAAAGGAATAATATATGGTAAATAATTAATTTGAAAATTATTCCAAGAATATTATATAATACTAATTATGAATAAACTGAATCATTTACCACTAAGATTATATTTTCTCTCATATAGAATGCAGATGACACTGGTGCAAAACATTTTCCGGTAATAGTAGATTAGACGTTGATGAAGTTCAAAGTCTTTACCAAAGGTTTTAACGAGCTAAAAGGTCAATTCAATTTTAGCCAGAGGAGCTAAGAAACTCATAATTGAAAAGATAACAAACTAAAAGACATACTCAGTTTTTACCGTCCTAAATTGTTGTATCCACTCGTAGATAGAAGTAACATCGGAACTTGCACCAATAATAAGTAAGAGACTTGTTAGAGTTTTTTTCACCATAATCCCCACTACTGGTTTTTACTTTTTCGAACCAGATATTTGCATCAAATTTGGTCTGATCTCTTTTTTTTCGCGTTAAAGCAGGTCCCTCCCAGTTCGTAAACACAAGATTCGAATCTTTACCTTGGAAAGTTTGGCCGATTTGCTTAATGGTGTCCGAATTTCCTTTGATGGAAATCATAACGATATACGCAGTCATGGTCTCAAGAAGAGTTGAATGTTCGACGAAGAGTGGTTCAATTTTTTAAAACTAGAGCTTTTGTACAACGTATTCTTCAGTAGAAACACTTTTTATATCTTTCTTTCTTGACATTAACTCTCCAAAGTTTTATATCGCTAGTATTTTTAACATCTTTCTTATCACCGAGAAATTCCCTGAGAATTGCAAAAGGGTATTTTAATTTACCAAACTCGACAGAACTTCCATTATCATTATTATAAATGGGAATTGGAATTAAACTATCAGTGTTTAGAAATAAACAATTAAATAATGCTTCAATTACAGTGAAAAGTAGTTGCAAATCTGTAGCAACTACACAGATTTCACATATTTATTACAATATATTTTTCAGATTCTTTTGAACTATTTACCATTTATTAATTATTCACTTCGACACAAATTTTGTATAATAGTTTAAATTATATTCTTTATCTATTTTTAGTTGATAAAGATTTTAGTGAACCGAATATTTGCCTGACGGAACGATCATATTCCTATTAAAATAGCTAATATTACTCAAACATTAAATTAACATGATGTTAGACGATTTCAAAAAAATTAATATTACGATTATTTTGTATGCATATTGATATTAAATTGATTTTTTTTTTACTCATTAAAACTTACATTGTTTGATCGTAAATTTAGAAAAGATAATAGAAGAGCCTTAATTATCTTTTCAAGTGGAGCGAAGGGTGAACGCAAAATTTAATCTTATATGAGTGATTTATATTTTGAATTAATTATTAATGTAATATTCATTTCGCTTTGAATCAAAATTTTCCTTTTAATCTTTTTACCATAAACTAAATTATTAGCAAATTAAATAGATAGATAAAACGTGATTTATTTTTATGCTATGTATCTAATCTATGGTACAAACATGTGACTTAAAAAAAAAACTATTCTAAAATTTTTTTCTCAACGCATCGTTTTTCATAAAAAAACATATTCCAAAAAACTGTAAAATGTGTTATGTTGCTAAATCTATATAAAAATTATCAAAACTGTGTATTGAACAATTCAATATACAAGAAACTGTTATCCTTTATTACCGATGAGGGAATTAATTTTCTTTGTATATAAATGGATCAAATAAATAAATAATTGAGTCTCCCTTTCATTTTAGAATCTCTGCTAGAAAATAAAAAAGAATGAACGGTCAAAATTCCATTGATCAAAGTCGGTTGAAAGTTGTGAAAAATTAGGTTCTTCTACAATGATAAAGTTCTAAAATTGAACATCAAAGTAAGCAAGCTCAGATATGATTGTTTTGATAAGACGTATAATATATCAATTTTTTTTTTTTTTTTTTTTATGAAATAGAATTCTCTAACAAGTTTTTAAACCGAAATGGCTTAAAATCTCTTATTGATATAATGAATAATTTTAATTCTTGCATATGCATTGACATCAATGCAAATTCTTATGCATAATCATGGATAGGAAGATTTAGGTTCTGATTTAATAAGGTAGAAGAACAAAGTGATCAAAGTATACGTTTTTTTTCCGTCTTAAATAATTTTTTTATCTAATTAAATTTTTTTTCGTTAGATGATGGTTTAGTGAAGCAACATTAGGGAATATTTGCAGACCTGCCATAGTATAATTATTAAATTAGCCATAGCAGATAAAAATTCTGCAACTTCAACGATAAAATTATACGGTATTGATGATATATTACATTACATGATGCAATGATAAAGCAACCAACAACTTTCAACGTCTTTCATTTGCTGATTATGTCTTTTGCTCGAATAGTTTATGTTTAATCAATGCTTTATACTGGATGTAAGTAATATTAGATATATTACTAATTCTTTACGTAATTTATATCTTACTCTAATATAACTTTTTTCCATTCTTTTTAGATACGACATCAACATCATTTTAACCTTTATTATTGGCCTTTGGAAAGATTCATTACATAACAGTCAAATCATTTTCAGCTATGGAATGTAATGGAAGTGACGGTTGATGATATCAGCTTTGCATTAAGAGACGAGGCGATAAAACAATTATATGAATTTGAAAAAGATATGTTGAAAGTTGAATTTAAAGTTATTAGAGATGAACAATTAAAAGAATTATGATTTATTGAGTAAAATCCAGTGTTATCAAAGATTATTTGGATTTTAATTTATTACAAGATATTACAATATATACATATTTTTGTAGTAGGTTATGTACAGAATCGTACGAATTCGTAAAAATTCAAAATATTAAATGACAACAAATCTTAGGTAAAAAGACTATGGTTAATAAAAATAGAGATTTTATAGATTAAGTCCTTTTATATTATAAATAGTATCAAATATTTAAGTGATTTGTTTTGTTTTAAAAAAAAATAAATAAACGAATGATTTTTTTTATTAAAATGTTATCTTTTGATTTTAGTCAACTTTAACTTAGACACTGCTCTCCGAGTTGTATATGTTAAACAAAGGGAGCAAGAAACAACTTCTAACCCTCTACTGGTCCATGGTCCTTGGAATTGACGAGTTAAATAATTTCATTGGAGGAATTATGTGTAAACCACCTACAAACATTTATTTCATTCCTATCCTGGCTGGAACGATTGAAGGATACATAAAAAATTGTCTTTCAGGTTCTATGCATGAACCACTTTTCCTTCCACTACATAAGGAAAATTTAAAAAAGTTACAATTAAAAAAGAGAAAAATTTAAAAGAAATGTTATAAAAAATTTTTTAACATATGTAAAGTTCTAAAAATTATATTTCATTTTGCATTTTAAATAGTATAATTTTTTATAAAAAGATACGTTCATACGTTCAATATCATTTCAATATGTATATATAAATACAATTATACATTATAATAAATTTATTACAGCACGTTTCAAACGAAAAACGGTGATGATTGCATTGTATATACCTGTCTCTTATACACATCTAGATGTGTATAAGAGACAGCAATTATACATTATAATAAATTTATTACAGCACGTTTCAAACGAAAAACGGTGATGATTGCATTGTATATACAGTATACTAACTGAATACGTAAAAAAAGAAGAATTGCTAATAAAACATTAAATAATTTTTGAGATGAAATAGATTCAAATAAAAAAATTAATTTATTCGTAATCCTTAGATTTTGATTTTCAAGAAATTTTACTTGCAAAAAGTTATTCTAAAAATACTTAGTTTATGATTTACATTTCCTAAAACAAAACACTAATCGTTCGCCATCAAAACTCTGTATATATTATAATTTTGACTGGTATCATTAGAAGATTGGGGATTTCTTGACTCAAGGCTTGAGATCCTATCGATGTCGTTCACACCAATCCCAATATGCCTGTGTTTCAATCTCTGCATTATAATTAATAACTTTTTCGCTAATACAGTTTAAAAGCATCACGTCAAAATAAATAATATACTTAAAGACTTCTCTTTGTGTAAATGTTTTTTTAACAATTACTTTATGATTCATTGTAAATTAGGTAGAATTTTCTATTTTTATTTTATAATATATTGAATGAACTTTGAAAAAAAAAGAAAAGAAATTAGCGTAACGTATATGTTTGTTTAAAAAATGAATATACCTTAATCAAATTATCATAATAATAATTAACACCATTTTCAGTTACCTTGGTTATAGCTTGAACCGTTTTCCATTATCTTGAGACGTGAAACATTAAAAAAAAATCGTATGACAAAAGGATATTTTGAAGCGTGGAAAAAAATGAAGGAGACGTGGCTTATCAAAAAGTTCCACCAAATTAAATAGCACGTCATTTAATATCAAACATTTTGGAGAAATACTATACACGCTAAAAAATTGTAAATTGTAAAAATATAAAATTTATTATCTTCATTAAATCCAAAGTTGTACCCGGAAATATAAAAAGAAGCCATAACTCATAACATAGGAGAAACTATAAAATAGGAATTAAAGAGTATAACTTATTATTCTATGATAGATCAGGCACATAAAGCTAACCTGCCAGTTTCTCTTTAATGTCTACCTCTAGTCCCTTTGCTACTAATCCTCTACTAAGTAAAAAAAAATAAAAACAATACATTAAAAAAATTAATGTTAATCAAAAAAGCGAATGTATCAAATTTACCGCAGCGGCCTCATTTCAAAACCATAATAATAATTTGTGACATTTTATTATGAAGAACGCGTAAATCACATGAATATAGTAAAGTAGTATGGTACGATATAATATAATAAGTAAGGTATTATTAATTATGTACAGGTACAATGGGTACGATGCCAATCGTACCGAAATACTATAGGAACATGAATAGCCTTTGGGTGGGTATTATTAGTTATATTATAGACGAAATTAATACTAATTTTATAAAAAAATTTCTAACTTTTTAATGATAAAAAAGAAGTTTAGTGTAAGATCGAAAGCATACCGGTTAAAGTTTCATATCTAAAAAGCAATAAAGCACAATACCGTAACAAATACATACACAAGAACATACTACCGCCTAAATGTTACGCAATGACAATTTATTGAGATCGTGTAGTGAGTTATTGCAATTTTAAGCATAAGCGTAACCCGCGCGTTACTTTGTTAATCATTTTTCCGTATATTAATTAAAATAATTAAAAGTGCTAGGTAACTATTATTAGTCATGGACTCATGGTGCATGATGAACTGCTGATATTGATATCTGATAAATTGCGCGATACGACGATACGTCTCTGAGTTACTTATATTTTGAATAGCTTTTTATAATAGTTACGTAACAATTGTTACGCAACATACGCAACATACAAATTGAAGGAGATAAGGTGGTACACGGTTTCGGCAAAAATTTCTCCAGTCCTGCGGATCAGCCAAATAACTCCTTTAATCAAATCAATCCAATCAATCTGTCCAAATATAAAATGTTCCTTTCATTTTGTGTGTCCATCGTTATCTAACTTTGTTGTTTTCTATACTCTCTTTTTTGATATCCAGCTTTTCCATCATATCTATCATATCTTCCAGCTCTTCCTTTTCTATATTTTCGTCCTTCGTATTTGTATCTGTTGCCGTTGTTGTCGTTATCTTTCTTATATCTAAACCTTTCTCTGTTCTCGTATCTGTTGTTAAATCTTCTATATCCTGATTTATAACCTCTTCCTCCTGCGTTGAAATTTCCAGTAGTTCTCGTATAAGTTTTTCTCCCTTTGAAAAAACATTGCGTTGTTGTGTGGTTATTTCTTCCGCATATTTCGCATCTTTTCTCGTTGTGTCTATTGGTAGTGATTCATGATCCGTAATCCGATCGGATCAACAAAAATATGATCAGTTTAGATCAAATCCGGATCGATATAACCCACTGATTATTTTTTTTTTTATAAATAAACCACTTTTTGCATATTTTTTTTTTAACAACGTTTTTTATATTTTTTATAACGACGTTTTTTATATTTTTCTTTACTTTTATAACAACATTTTTATATTTTAACTTTTATAACGACGTTTTTTATATTTTTTTTTTATAAAGACGTTTTTATATTTTAAATATTTTTCTTTTACTTTTATAACGAAATTTTCTTTTCTCTTTTTTTTACACGACGTTTTTTATATTTTTTCTTTACTTTTATAACGACGTTTTTATATTTTAAATATTTTCTTTTACTTTTATAACAACATTTTCTTTTATAACGAGATCTCTTTTTTTTTACAACGAGGTCTCTCTCGTTTTTTCTTTTTTTTTACAAGGTCTCTTTTTTTATAACGAGGTATCTCTCTCGTACAAAAAGAGTTTGTTTTGCAGTTTTATTAGTAAAAACGCCCATTTCCTGACGATGTCTAGGTTTTACATCTGGTCGTCACGCGTAACGAGGTATCTCTCTCGTACAAAAGGAGTTTGTTTGCAAGTTTATTAGCAAAAACGCCCATTATTTCTGGTGATGTCTAGGTTTTACATCTGGTCGTCACGCGTAACGAGGTATCTCTCTCGTACAAAAGGAGTTTGTTTTGCAGTTTTATTAGTAAAAACGCCCGTTATTTCTGGTGATGTCTAGGTTTTACATCTGGTCACCAGTATAATGAAGATGGTTGAACTTTCTAGACAATTGTATAATATGATATACATAATGTGACTGTAGACGACCTTGGTTTATTGGAAACGTGATAAACCCATAGCATATGCCCTTGTCTTCCGGCTGGTCAGCCATAGCATCTCTCTGAGTTTGCCGATTGGTGTTTGAGGTCATATCTCTAGAGTTCTTCCATATTTTAAGGTGTTTCTCTTCTTTTACTGTTTCTTTTCTTTCTCCTGTGTTTAAAAGATTAAGCAAACAGAATTTTTTTAAAATCTTATCCTGGTGGAGAGCATGTCTATGCTTTGACTAGTTCGATTCTAGTCTAAGATCTTGACAATTTATTTTAATTTTTTTTTTTTTGAAAATATTAAGAGGCTCTTTAACAAATTTAGGGCGAAAATCATTTGGGATTTCAATTTAAATTCACAAAATAAATACTATCCTATTTACATTTCTCACTAATTAACAAACTTTAGTATATACAGATAATAAGAAATGATTGGATAGAATTATTGAAACGGATTAAAAGATGAATCTAAGATTTAGAATATAGGGTTAAAATAAGATTTTGGATGAGAACCTTCTTTAGTTTTCTATTTTAAAATTTAAATTCAAAAAGTTTTTAATAGTCGATATAAAGTTAAGAAATTGGTTCTCATACTTAATTTGATGCGACGCACAGATTTTGATTTCTATAATAAAAAATTTTAAACCAAAATTTGAGATTGAAATAGCGTCAAAACCTTTATATATTAAAAAAAATTGTATTGTGTATTTATTTATATATCAAGTTAGTTCATTTTGATTCGAGCAATGTCTCATTTTTTAAAAAACGAATTTATATGTATCTTGACATGTATAATTATTATATTAGAAATTAAATGATCATTTGGGTTTCCTTTTTTTATTGCGTCCTAATAGAATATCGTTAATATGAGATTTAAAAACGCGTCCGTCGGCAAGATATACTTTCTTCAACTTCACAAATTAAAGTGATCCATTCTCCTAATTTTTTATTCAAGTAAGAAGCGTTTGGACGTTTTTCCGGATCATCGTCCCAACATTGTTGCATTAATTCTGCATAAAATTTTGGTGTATCCTCTGGAATTTCAAGCTTTTCATCATTACAAATGCTTTTTGCTAAATTAATATCATGAGCTCTATTATACCAAGGTCTTTTCCAGTTGAAAATGTATTCATGGTAATACCAAATGAATATATATCAGAAGCAGTACTATAATCTTAACCACGTAAAACTTCCGGCGTAGTACTGTATATGGTAAAACCCCACATATGCTTTTATTTTCATGGTAATAACATGGACCGTGAAGACCCACATCAGCAATACGAGTACCTATCAAAAATTTTCGTCAAGTAAATCCATGAAGACTTTTCCTTCAGCATGAATCTTTTTAAGCCCTCTAGCGTTTTCCCATAATGTATCGATTATATTAATCCAAGAAAGGATTCCATTGGAACGATCAAGGTATTGATACAAGTTGCCGTTTTTGTAGTATTTCATAACAATCATATAATTAGATGTCGTAATTTCAAATGTGTCAGCCAATAAATCCAATTGTAAACACTTGCGATATGCTTTAATTTGAAATTAAAAATAAATGCAGAATGCAGAATGAATTATGAATATTGTATAATTTGATATTTAAGAGGTGTTGTTGAGCAAAGTTTATTTATCAGTAAATCAATTTTAAAAGCGGACCGCGGACGGGAAACGATGCACATGATATCAATCGTTTACTTTCAACCAATAGGATTTTGTTTTGCTTATCATGTGATCTACCATATATAAAAATCTTCGATATTTAAAAAAAATATGTTCTTTCATAAAAAATAAAATAGCAACTGGTATACCACCGTATTTAACGTTAATTACCTGATTAATGAAAGAACTCGAAATTTTCTGAACTATCAAGACGTTTCAAAGCAACAGTCATGGACCCGCTCGAGCCCACTCTTGCGCAACATCATCCCAATTCCATCTTTGGTCCTTCCGTCCAAAGTACCAATGTATTTTACCATTTCAAATTTTTCGAACGGGATCCACTCCAAATAATCACAAGTTTGAGGGGCATTAAGTTGAGTATAACGGATTAATTCATCAATCTCTTTATTCTCAGATGTCCAATAAAGAAAGTTTTCCTTCATGGAATTGGTTTCACAATCCTTACACCATCCGAAAGAGATTCTGGGTTTACCATATTCTGGACAGGTTTTAAGTTCTCTTGGGATAAATTTATTTTTTTGACAATAATCTTCTTCCATTGATAATCGAAAAGCGGACTAAAAGTTGACATATTTAAATATTTATACGTAATAGCGAAATTTTAAACTGTAAAAGAAATACTGTAATCTTCATGTTATTAAATATCATCTTGTGGGATCTGCCGAGTAATTCTTTTATCATATGAAATTTCAAGTTGTTTGCCCTGCAACTTATGCATCTTGTTCTTCGCCTTTGTGAATTCAGAATTACTCATTGCTATCAATCCTAGCAACAACTCAAATCTTCAACAGTTATATTGACATCAAAAATGCATAATAAAAAAATATATTGTTTTGTCATTACTTTGAGTAACAATATGCTAAAATCTTATCATAATATATAATATCATAATTACGCAATGCATTTAAATGTTAAATGTTACATACCCTGTAATAATTTTAATTTTTTAAAATAGATTTGTGGAAAATATTAATGTGTAAATGGACGTAATTTTCAGATCAATCTCAACATTTTTTTGAACCATTACAATGATATAAAACGAAATTCACAAAGATAATCTCTTGTAATACAATATCAAAAGCGGCTACTAGCAGCTTCTAACTTATTTCAATTTTAGCCGCTGAACCCATAAAATTATTTGTAAACTTGAGTTTCATCAATAACAATGATTATATTTATTACTCGTCTTGTAAAGAAATATTTTTTATTTCATTTTTTTTGAAATACTTTAATAAGAAAATTTGTCTTTGTATCTTAAAGGTGATATCCCTTATGTGAATAGTAATATATGAAAATTTTTACAAGCGATAAAAATATTATTAAAAGTTTAAATAAACCTAGGTAACGCAACAGACAACAAATAAAATTCTACTTATTTAAAACCGAAATTAAGAAATTACTAGCATTCCTTTTTTTTGTGAACTTACTTTATGAAGTAATATCTGATTTTAATTTCAATTTGGTTAACTGGATTATACACAATCAGCATCAACTTGCATCATGCAACTATTCTTACTGGTCGATGAATATGTTACATGATGTTCATTCTAAGCAAATAACCAAGATCGAAGCGTTTATAATTATCGTCTTAGGAAGTAAAATTTCGATAACCATAATTGCAATCAAAGATTATGGAATGAACCTGAAACCGAAATAGTAATATTTATAAATTTTCTAAGCAAGTTTCACATATAAAATTTATTTTTTTATTTTGAGAAATCGCTTATTATTAGTAAATACTGTAATATGATTATTTAGTAAATATTATATTTACTTATAAATTATTGATTTTTTTCTTTATACTGTAAAGTAGATTGTTGATCTTTATTAACCTTTCAAATATATAAATAGATGCCAAACATCGTAACATCGTATCGTCTTTGTTCTGTAAATCAATTAATAACTTACCAGATTTAGATCCGAACGGAGGTTAAGTACAAGGTTCTTGTATACTACAAATTAAATTTAAAGGTGCAAACACTAATTCTTTTACTACCGCTTATCAATTTTGATATAATAGTTTAAAAGGAACTGTGCATTTCATGAATTTCAGATTTCTTTCATAAGTATAACTAAAATGTTTGATAAACCAATTAAAAGTACTATTCTAATCGAAAACTTATGGCCAAATATGAAATAATTGAATTATTTATACAGTAAAATTAAAAATCATCATCTGGATAACAAAAAGTAGCCATATGTTCTTGTCTATTAAGTTCATTCCTTGCAGAAGCATAATTTCATATTGACCAAAGGTTAGTCCGAAATTAATACTTCTACTATCAAGTTGTACGTACGTCTAATAATGATTACAAAAAAGTTGATTATAAATTATACAATTTTCACTAAATATATTATTGAAAAAAATAATTGTAAATTTACCTGAAAGGTCAATATTTAATATCCCAAGTCGTTTTACTCCTGGTTCATCACAGTACCCTATATTGTACTTTTGTGTATAGTAAATTGCAAAACTTTCACTTATCTGCTTGGACCCAGGTTTAAAATTGAAGGAAAAAGTTTGATCAGGTGTAATTTCAGTGTCTCGTTTGACTAAAGTCTTAAATTTACAATTTTTTCCATCATGAGTAAAATCATCACTACTTTTCCAGTTATATTGAATTTCATAAGTAAATTTAAGGAGTCTTGAGGAAATAACAAGTTTTAAGCCATCGAATTCAGTACCATACAAAATAGTTGATAATCCATAAATTACAGCTCCACGTACAACTGCTACTTCTGGGAGAGCAGGAACTGAAATATTATTCACTTGATGACTAAATTCTTCTTTTATTCTATTTTGTAAATATTTTCTTACACAAAAATCCCCAGTTAAAAATATGGTTGAGCAATTTTCTTTATTATTTAAAAGTTGTATATGTATTAAACGAATAATTCTATCAACAATAGGATCAAACATTTTTTTTATGTCATTATATTTAATTTCAATTATTTCTTCCATGATTTCCTTAATTTCTTCACTGACATGCCGTAGCAAATTTTGATCTTCATATAAAATGTCTAGTTCATAATTAAACTTCTTATCATCGCCTGTAAAAGATCTTTGTTATACGTCGATAGAAATTTTTGACCATGTATTGTAATCGTTCATAATTATTTTCTTTCAATAGATCTATGGTACAAGTTCCAAGTCTTTCACGTAAAAATTTAATAAATTCTTCATTAATCAATCTACTACCATAGAAGTCTCTAATCTGTACTGTAACTTTATCTATATGCAATGGATCATTTCTAACTAACTTACGAGTAGTCAAATTTGTAGTATATTTACCACAGTCAACAAACATAAATGTCTCTAAAAATTATGAATGAGTATTATTTGAATATTCTTTTAATTAAAATAATTAATAATCAAAACTTGCCTCCTATTTCACATTTAAAATAATTTTTCACACAATTTAATGCGGTAGCTTTAGCTGTAAATAAAGAAAAATTAATCACATTAAATTAATAAAGGCCTTATTTCTAAAATCCACTTACATTCTGTAGTAAATTGCAGTTTTTCTGAATCTCTATCTTTAATGAGGTCCGCATTATACACACATTGTCTCATAATAACCTTATCCATTCCTGAATATTCTGCAGGAATTGTAAGTACTAACAATACATCTTCAAAGTAGTCAAATCCATCCAAATGGCAAATCTTTTCTTTAATGAACTAAAAATTATTATTAAATAAGGTAGAAATTTTAAAATTAAAATTAAAATAATATTGGAATTACAGTATAATTCATACCATTCCGAATTCTCTAAGATAGTCAGTAATAGCCTTTTTGTAATCGATTGGGAGTTTTGGTTTTAAATTATCTGGTAAGTCACCCAGGTATAAATTGAACAATTTAACGGGTTCGCTATTTTGTTTTCTGTTTTTTAAAGCTCGAGCACCCCAGTACAACACATTATTAAATTCATCATCATATCGAAGAACTGTATTTGTTCTGAACTGACCAGTAACTCCCCAAGGCCAATTATCATTTGTATGCATATTTTCATCAATAACATGACAATAAGCGAATCCAGAATATGTTACCCCAAAATCTAGTCCGACCACAATTCTAATATCATCTAATCCTTTAAAGTGTATGAAATCGATTTAGTTTTGTTTAATCATTATTAATAATTTTTTTTATAAAAGTTCATTACCACATACCTTTACTATAATTTAAAGCGGTTGTTGGATTTTTATTAATATTACAATTTGTTTGTTTATTGTTTTCTTTAAATACATTAATAGTATTAATATCAATTTCGTCAACTTCCAATATTTTTAAATTTTTTTCCAAATTTTGAGAAATTACTTCAAGTCGTTGAATTTCTTTTTTTTTTGTTTTTCTAAATTTAAATCATTTTGAAGTTTTTCAATTTGTTTATCTCTCGCTTGTAGTTTTACTTTTAAATCATTATTTAATAATACGAATTAAATTTGAGTTATTACGTGAGATTTCCTGATATTTTTTATTTGATTCTAAATTATTACGTGAAATTTCTTGATTTTTTTCATTTAATTCCAAATTAATACGTAAAATGTCTTGATTTTCTTCTTGAAGATTCTTATTGTGTTGTTTAATTCTTTGATTTTCTTCTAATAAATTTATAAATTTATCATTTAATTTTTTGAAACCAGTTTCAAGTTTTTCGACAACTTCATGTTGATTATAAGCAGGAAATAAGTTTTCAGAATTTGAGAATTCATTAGTCATGATGTTATTGCTTAAATTGTTTTAAATTTAACAAGTTTTTTTATTTAAAGCTTTTTTTAGCGAGAGTGACAACTTTATACTAAAAAATGGTTTCACAAATTCTGTAAATGTAACATACATCACATGAAAATCACTATACGTAATTATCATTAAAATTTAGCTTCGAATTTACATAATAAACCAATTTGTCTTTAATTCTTTTTTTTTTCATTTAAAATCACGTCACCAAATTCTGTGAAAAAAATTTTTTATCGCTCCGGACTCACCGTTTCCTAGTATTATATTCTCAGTAAAGGTAATTATGTAATTGTATAACATTTAACGAAAAAAAAATGATTTCAGAATAATATTGGGTAGTCTAAAAGTTTAAACACGTCTCACACGTGATCGTAGGTACTATAATAACTAAATTGTTTGCCTTGTTGTTCAGCTTTGATACGTATACATTTAAGCTCGCCAAGTGTTCACTCACGAATTTTAATAGAGAAATTATTTTAGCTTCAACTATTCTTTAGAGTTTAGAAGATAATCTCAGAGTAGAATTTGGAACCGGTTGTTTTAGAAGCGATTCATCGTTTTGACTCGAATTTTTATTCAGTTATAAACCGGTTTGATTTAATTGATAATCAGCTAGAGCTGGCTTAATATAACTGATAATTGGTTGAAACCAGTTCGGTTATCTCTAGTTTAATATGTCGATCACCAAAATTTTTGCAGCCGTGCATCGACTGCATCGTGCATACAATTTCATAATATACAGATGGAACATCAGGTTAGGTCACGTGCAGGTTACAAATAACGGTGACAAATAAAATCTGTCCGAACTCGCGCCAGCACGTGACTAAGTTATTTGCAAATGAGAGTGTGTAGATTTTAAGTCATGACTCATTGACTCATGAGTTGGTAGATTTATTACTAAATTAAGAAATTCCTAACAAATTTTTATATAATATATCCTTTTTTTATATGTAATTTATCTATTTTAGTAATGATTTGTGCACATTTTTTATGTTGTGTAACTGTGCACATTTAAAATCAAGTCATCCGATCCTTTAAATTGTCGCACAAAACATGTCTGACGATGGCCACATTGCGTCATTTCAAGAACTTTAGCAATCGTTTTGTATCAATCTAACAATTAAATTGTTGACTATGAACAACTTTTGTTGTTGTATCAATCTTAAGTAAGAAGAAATTGTACAAAATTTTTATGATTTTTGAATAAACATACATAACGCTCCATGTGTATTTAGATCGGGTGTCCTTTTTATTGCCGCTTTTGCAGTTGTAAGTTCATATTTGCAAAAACGATGGGAGCATTTTGTAATTCTTAATTGTACTTACCTCTGTCTCTACGAAACAATATAGTTTCTCAATCTTTCCTGTGTCACTTTTAGTTATGACACAAGACTCGCATTTTTCTATATTTTCAGGCTTATTGCTAGTGTTTTCGGATTCGTCGGTATAATTCTGGTAAATTTTCATAATCCCAAGTGTATCCTAAGGTTATCAAATTCTTCGCTAATGTCTGTTTTGCTTTAATTCAGGATAACATTTTATATTTTACAATTTTTGTCAATTACTATTTGGTCGCGGTAATTATTGACATCCTAGTGACCACTTTTTTTACTATATCAATTTTTTTTTATAGTCCTTCAGATTATTGTCAAAGAATATCAAATTATGAAACTTGTGTTGCCATTTATATAACTCTCAGAGTTCTTTTTACGTTATTAATAGTTTTCGCTGATATTATGCAGGTATTTAATGATTTAGGTGGTTTATTTTTCATGTATACAGTTTTCACTAACGATTGCTTTGCATCAATAGGTTTATTTCTGCTTTGCACTCTTTTCTTATTATGAAAAACTCTATGAAAAAAATAATAGAAGTGGTAGACTCATTAGTAACGATGGTAACGACGAAGTCTCTGCTCCAACATATGGTGCGGTTTCAGATCAAAGCATAGCCTGATGGTGTGATAGCTTATATTTCTGTAAATTGTATATGTAAATGATCCGAATCCAATAAAGTAATATAACATGGTCTACAAATTATAAAAATTATTGTACTTTTTAAAATATGTATTGGATATGATGCCTTCAAGAACTCGAGATTTTTCCAAAGATTATCGGTTTTCTTTGGTTCACACTGTACATATATATATATATGTATCAAATAAATGGAACAACAACAACGTATGTAATTAAAAAGATTTCGTTAATAGTTACATGTACTTTTTAATATTTAAGAGGAAATTTGTTATCCATATGTAAAATAAATCGTAATTTTATTTTTTTTTAGGTTTTTTTATTGGGAAATGTTGATATCCATCTGAATATAATTAAACTATGTGGGACATGGTACATCAACATACTGTACGATAAAGATCACAGATTTTGGACGTTCACGTCTATGCGGATCAGTTATCGACAAAAAAGAAAAAGCATATGGCGTTACTCCTTACATAGATCTAAAAATCCTTAATGATCATTCGTATGATTTAACCAAAAATCTGATATATATAGCTTAGCGATATTATTCTGGCGAATTGACAAGTTACAAAACACCTTTCGAATCTGAACAGATAATACTTTATCAAAGAATCGGATGTTTTATTATTTTTTTGTTGAACTAGTCTATAGCCCGGGTTGTTGTTCAACAAAACAAATATTATGATGCACGCGTTCAAAAAAAACTAAATAAGGAACGAAAAATAGTTTGTTTCGTTCTATATCTTGTGAATACAATTGTCATATTAAATGAATTGATATTTCTCATGTTTAAATATTTAACATTCTCTTGGTGGTTTTGATATAATTTTCTTATCAAGATTACCGATCTGTTCACATTAAACATATACTGATATTTAAATTATGAATCTGCATTTTGATAATGATAGTTAAAATGTGTCTTTATCTCTTTATTTTATTGATTTGGTTCTCCTAAGGTAAATTAAAACTCGGAACATCAAATAAAATTCGCACGAGTAGAACGAAAAACGGTAAAAATGATATACCAAAAATTATAATTTCATCCTGACTATTATTCACTTTAACAACTGTTGTTGCAATAAGAGTTTGATTATCATAGATTTATGGATCACAAGATCCAGAAAAATATGTTACATCTATATTATGTCCAAATAGAATCATTGTAATAATAATAACCCGATTTTTATAAATTTAGCGTATAAATCATATTTTAAAGCCTCGTAAAATTTTCCTGGAAATTTTATATACACTATTTAAAATATTTACAGTACACATGGTCTTCCTTTTCATAACCGGGGTTACAATTTAATATATTGTTTGGTTGCGAAGTTATGCTTTGGTTAGTAAGTTAGGATTGTTATTACAATATGTCATATCCTTCTATGTTCTATTTTTACCGCTTATTCTGGGAAATTAAAAAATGCTCATCAACATTATATGATACGCTCTGCACTTTATGCGCGATATTTATTAGTAATTCAAATCAGTTTTTTATATCAAAGTATTATATATAGAATGTTAAATAGTTTAATAAATAATTAAATAATTACTAACGCAAAATTGTAATAATTAATGTTGAATACCTGATAGAATATTATTTAGCTTATTCTTTGCTTCTTCAACTCCGTTATATGAAGCTTTTCTGTACCAATTAATTGCTTCGTCATTATTTTTATTAATTCCAATACCGTAATAATAGCAATCTCCTATATAATGTTGTGCTGTCGCATTTCCACCTTCAGCTGATTTTAAATACCATATAAATGATTTTTCTATGTTCTTATCAGTTCCTATGCCATTTCCATAACAACATCCTAAATTACATTGTCCTTCAGCACATCCTGCAATAGCTGATTTCATGTACCATTCAAATGCTTTTGTCTCATTTTTATCATATTTATAATAATCCCCCAAATCATTTTGTGCCGTTGCATTTCCATTTTCTGCTGATTTCAAATACCATTCAAATGCTTTGGCTTCATTTTTATCTGTCCCTATACCGTTTGAATAACAAAATCCTAAATTCTTTTGTGCTATCAAATTTCCATTTTTCGCCGATCTAGAATACCATTCAAACGCTTTCGTTTCATTCTTAGCCACTCCAACACTATTTCCATAACAAAATCCTACATTACATTGTCCTTCAGCACATTCGCTAACAGCCGATTTCATGTACCATTCAAATGCTTTTATTTCATTCTTATATGTTCCTATGCCATGTTGATAACAATCGCCTAAATTATTTTGTGCTAACGCATTTCCATTTTCAGCAGATCTAGAATACCACTCAAATGCTTTTTTGTTATCTTTAGCTGTCCCTACGCCATTTTCATAACAGAATCCTAAATTACATTGCCCTTTAGCATACCCTGCAATAGCTGATTTCATGTACCATTCAAATGCTTTCTTCTCATTTGTATATGTTCCTTTATCATAATGGTAATAAATACCCAAATTATTTTGTGCAATTTTGTTTCCATTTTCGGCTGATTTTAAATACCACTCTAATGCCTTTGTTTTATTAATAACGGTTCCTATGCCATTTGAATAACAAAACCCCAAGTTACATTGCCCACTAGCATCTCCTCCAATAGCTGATTTCATATACCATTCAAATGCTTTTGTAGCATTATTATCAGTTCCTCTACCATATTGGTAACAATATCCTAAATTATTTTGGGCCACCGCATTTCCATTTTCAGCTGATTTAAAATACCATTCAAATGCTTGTTTGTCATTTATAGCCGTTCCTATACCATTTTCATAACAAAATCCTAAATTACATTGTCCTTCAGCACATTTTGCGATAGCCGACATCATAAACCATGAAAATGCTTTTTTTTCATTTTTATATGTTCCTTTACCATTTTGATAACAATCTCCTAAATAATTTTGTGCAAATTTGCTTCCATTTTCAGCTGATTTTAAATACCATTCAAATGCCTTTATTTCATTTTTATCTGTTCCTATGGCATTTTCGTAACAAAATCCCAAATTACATTGTCCATCAACATTTTCTGCAATAGCTGATTTCAAATGCCATTTAAACGCTTTTTTTTCATTTTTATTTACTCCTTCACCATTTCGATAGCAACATCCCACATAATTTTGTGCCATTGGATCATTTGCTATTGCAAGTTTTAAATTCCTTTCAAATTCTTTCATCTCATAGTTATTTTGATTTACTTGATATCCATATTTTTCAGATTTTTTAAACCATTCAAATGCTTTTATTTCATTTTTTTGCGTTCCTATCCCATCCATATAACAGATAGCTAAATTATATTGTGCTTCTAAATCACCATTCTCAGCTAGTTTAAAAAGATTTGAAAATTTTGATACATTTTGTTTACGATTAATATCTAATATGATATCCTTATAATATAATAATGATAATAAATATTTTCCGATAATTATATTTTTGTTTATAAAAAATAAATTATTATCTTCATCATTTAAATGTAATATATTAAAATTTTCATTATTTATAGCTAATAAATATAATTCTATAGCCTTTTTTTTATTTAATTCACAACCTATACCATATTGATAAAAAAATCCCATAATACTTGTAAATAAAAATTTACTTTCTTTATGATTTTCCATTACTTTAAAAATTCTTTTAGGATTCTTATTATTACTTTGAAGTTTGTTCTTTATCCATTTACTCGAAATTTCTTTAAAATCACTAATATTATTCGTTTCAATAAAATTAATTTTACAATGAAAATCTGTTAAAATATCTTTTAAAAAAGTTTCTTCACCTTTAAAAATTGTATTATCCATAACTTTAATTAATTAATATAATTTAAATTAAATAAAGAGAGCGTTTTTTTTTTGACGACTTTTTGGGCAAAAGACCGACCAAATGTGGCACAACATTTTGTACATCCACCTGATGATCTACCAATATATATATAATTTCATTGTACATGCCAAATAAATACATCTTTATAACACAATCGGGTCAGAAAAAAGTAGTCGTATCCGATAATGTAATTCCCAATTTCCCATTCTCGTTTTTATTTACAGCTGATTTCATAATGTACGGGACACTTAGCAGTTAGGTTAGCAGAACTCGGAAATATTCGGTAAAGTTCAAAATAAGATAAATTTATACCACCATTCTCGGAATAGTACTCCAAAATTAGCGTATTTTTATTTTATATAAAGCTTTACCGAATATTTCCGAGTTCTTTAAAATTTGCCAAGTGTCCCGTACATTATGAAATCAGCTGTAATAGTTTGCTAAAAACGAGTTTTTTCGGCAATCCTTTCCTTCATATATGCTATTTTTGATAATCGATTACATTTACCGGAATGCACAAATTAAATTTTTTATTTTAATTGATCGTTACGAACTGAATTATATGATTGGCAAGATTGTATACGACTTAATTTACCGTAAAGAGCCAAAGAACCGAACGAGCGCTCCCATTCCTAACTAAGAATCAATCCATATGATTACCAAAAAGGGTTTCATTTAAATATACTTGATTTCATTAATTTTGGCCGGAATTATAAATTTGGCCAAAATTAAAATTAAATTGGGCAATAGTTTATAAATAACTTATTTTGAACTGAAAAAGATCTATATTAAAACGAGGAATATTTTAACACTATATATTAGTATTATTAGGAACCGTGGAATAAATAATATCAGATTATTTTCAAGATAATTAAAAGATTATGAATAAGAAATTCAATGGAATTTTAATCTAGAAGTTAAAATTTCAATTGTCTACTTTATACAATATTACTACGTAACTTTCTACGTGTAATATAAGATTGGTTCGAGTGAGATAAAATTAATAAACGATAAATAAGGAATTTTATACCAAATCGTATTGTGTACAAGAGTCAAGAGCTTTCTCGTATAATGAAAGCAATGTTCTCAATACGTAAAAATAGCTCTGTTCATTTTTAGTAGAATCAATCCATTTCTGTGTATTAAGTTATCCCTATAAAAATTTTATCCGTTACTTCCGTAAAAACTCCGTAAGAACAAGCCTTACACGGATCCATTCACGGAAAATGCTAATAATTCGATAAATTCCGTGATATAAGTTTATTATTTCCGGAAATATGAACCTTTTACGGAAAAAAGATGGAATATAAAAAACGGATCGAGTTTTTTTACAGGGTAAGGGGGCATGACATTGGGATTGAAAGATTCGGGATTTTTCACCAGACCCTTCATACGCATGATGCACGTAATGCATATGATGCGCATAATTTGGATAATCTTTTTTGTTCTAATGTAATATATTATATACGCGCAGACCGCGCAGTTCTAAGAGAATTATTGATTTTGCGTTTACATTCTTTACATTCACTTCACTTTCGTTTAAATCAATTACATGTCCAAATTGAATAAAGTACGACCATATTCCCTATAAAAATGTTTGCCCGATAAATATTCGGAATGGGGTCAGTTTTCCGGACACTCGCACGCTATTATACAATATTTGTTACAACTTAATACAAGATGCGGAGATTGTGAATTTTTAACCACATAAAAAACGTACAATATCATGATGAATGTCCAATAAATGTCAAGTAAATGTTCGGAACGGGGTCGATTTTCCGAACAAAAAACCACACAATGTTTGGACAATATTTTTTATTGGGATTGGATCAGGTAACGGCATCGAATAATTTACGAAAGATTCTAATAAAAATGATGAAAGTCTCTTAGTGCGCAGTCATGCATGTGAACCGCAGACGGTTAATTAAGGAGTGTTTTATTAACATAATAGTAATACATTAATTCCTCAATATAATTCTTTTCATTCCTCCATAAGTTGTGATTACTTTACATTTATACAGTACTGTAAAGCTAACATAAAATGGACGTGACTACCTTTATAAAAAAAATCCGGAAAAACTCTGAATAAATTTATTTATTTATTCTATGTTAAGTAAGGAGGAATACAATGAAAATCACATCACTATTCTAACGAATACAAGTAGCGGAAAACATTATAGAACTTCGTCCAAACCAACGATAAAAATCACTGGAGCGGACCCTTACTAGAATTATAAAAAACTAGTTTTAAGCAAAGCTTAGTTTATATTTATACTACTTCGCCACTCACATTCTCTTTGTTCACAATTCCCAAGCCAGGATAGACAAGAAATAAAAGGACCTATCTCGTAGTGGGTTACTAAACATAAATGGTAGCACAGGATAGGATTGCTTCCCCTGGGTGTCGACTACCGAAGTAGTTTACCATTGGTTGGTAACCCGGTTGTGACCGAAGTCGGTGTGATACCATAATCTACGCACCTAGGGCTACGATTCTACACCTTCTAGGCCTATGGTATAGGCCCACGCAGTATAATTCATAGAGCATCCGTTGGCTGGACGGATCGAACCTGCGTCTTCCATTCCTGTCATAGACAATCATAGGTCAGCAGCCACGACCCAAAAACCCCGGTAAATGATCATTTTTCTCCGAAGAAACTCAGACACGGTCATTTTTCTGAAAAATTTTTTATAGGGTACTTGTGCGACGATTAATTGTTTCTCAATAACAATATCTCATTATTTTACATGAGCTTTCAGACATAATAATACAGAAATGTGAAAGCATATCATTTATTACGAGACATAAAAATGTGTGTAACTGCGTAATTTGACACTAGTCCAATTATTTAATAATTCTTTAAAATAATATTAGAGATCTTAAATTAAAACAAGTAAACAATAAACATGGTAGGGAGTT